CACAGGCACCCAGCCAGCACTGGAGATTTTTACACCAACCCTGCCTTCCTCAGGATGAACACTGGTATCACAGGAAATCATGACATCTAGCCCACAGAGTTAGGCAAATAAAGTTCTTCAGTCTTTCTTATTAGGTCTAGGAAAACAGTGCAAATTAGGTTATCCTGTGGTCCCCTCTGAGGCACATAAAGATGGTACCCATAAAAGTTGTTCCTCCCTTCACGTTGATAAAACTATTATTTTTCTCAATCCACTCTACATAGTAAACCAAACCCCCAAGAGAAAAGGCTGTCACAGTAGTCATTGTGGTAGTCAGAGTCACACTGGACAGGAAAGGTCCAAAGTTGGGTGCTTTGGTAGTAGGACAAGTAAGTCATAACTATAATGTTTACAGTGAACACACTCTATGAAGAAAGGGAACCTTGTCAGAAAATCCCTAGAGGACCTTAGCTCAGATATGTCCAGAGCTGGATTATGTCCACTCAGAACCTAATCATGAGGGAAAAAATGAGGCCCCTTAATAGGCTCAGAATAGTCATGATTCCCTACAGTGAACAGGAGAGAGTGCACAGAGGACTGTTTTCCCTGAACAAATTGTGAGTGATTCTCACACAGCTGGTAGCAGTAAGATGGCTTCCATCATAGGCAATGGCAGTGATACAACTCTGTCCAGAGCCCTGGGTAGTTTAGAAAGTGCAAAACAGCTCATGAAGCTCCCGACAAAGATAGTGGCTACTGAGACTCTCCCCAGGCTGGATGTATGATTATACCAGATTCACCTGCTGGTTCTCTCACAAAGAGTACTCACAGCACTTTTCTCTGGTGTGAGTCCTATAAGGAAAAAGCACATCTTCAGTGCTCATAAGGCCTCTCTCTAATGTGAATTTCTGGTACTAAGTAAGTTTAAGAGATGCAACTAAAGAGTTACCAAAACTGTTGTGCTCAAGAGGCCTTTCTACAATGTGAACTTTCTGGTGCCGAACAAGGTGAGAGCTTCTGCTATAAGCTTTCCCACAATCACTGCACACATAAGGCTTTTCTCCAGTGTGAACCCTCTGGTGTAGAATGAGGCTAGAATTGCGGCTAAAGAATTTCCCACACTCACCACACTCAAAAGGTCTTGCTCCAGTGTGAACTTTCTTGTGTTGAACAAGATGAGAGCTACTAATATAAGCTTTCCCACATTCACTGCACACATAAGGCCTTGCTCCAGTGTGAACTCTCTGGTGTAGAATGAGGCTGGAGTTATGGCTAAAGCATTTTCCACACTCATTGCACTCATAAGGCTTTGCTCCAGTATGAATTCTCTGGTGCACAATAAGATTAGAGCTATGGCTAAAGAATTTTCCACATTCACCACACTCATAAGGCCTTTCTCCAGTATGGATTTTCTGGTGCTGCACAAGTGTGTCTTTACGGCTAAATGCCTTCCCACATTCACTGCACTCATAAGGCCTTACCCCAGTGTGAATTATCTGGTGCTGAACAAGTGTATCTTTGCAGCTGAAGGCTTTCCCACATTTACTGCACACATAAGACCTTGTTCCTGTGTGGACTCTCCTGTGTTTAATGAGGCTGGAATTATGGCTAAAGAATTTCCCACATTCAATGCACTCATAAGGTCTTGCTCCAGTGTGAATTCTCCAGTGCTCAATAAGATGAGAGCTTTGGCTAAAGAATTTCCCACACTCACTGCATTCATAAGGCCTTTCTCCAGTATGAAATCTCTGGTGTTGAACAAGTGTGTCTTTACGGCTAAAGGCTTTCCCACATTCACTGCACTTATAAGGCCTTTCTCCAGTGTGAATTCTCTGGTGCTGAATAAGGTGGGAGCTTCTGCTATAGGCTTTTCCGCACTCACTGCAGTCATAAAACCTTTCTCCAGTGTGAACTCTCTGATGCTGAACAAGTGTGTCCTTGCGGCTGAAGGTCTTCCCACATTCACTGCAAGTGTAATATCTTTTGCCAGTGTGAAATTTCTGGTGCATTTTTAGGTGGGACAGATGAACAAAAGCCTTTCCACACTCCTTACACACCTGAGATGCTTCTCCACTGTGAATTTTTCTGTGATTATTAAGAGCTGATTTTTCCTTGAACATATTTCCACATGGTAGGCATGGGAAGGATTTTACCACAGTATGAGTTACCTGGTTGTCAAGGAGAGTAAGGGTGTTCAAGAAGGCTTTCTCATTATCACTACAATTAAAAAGCATCTTTCCATCACAGCCTTTCTGGTATTGTCTGAGACTGGAATCGTGTGGGAAAGATTCCAGGCACTCTGTCCTTTCATAAAAACTCACCCTGTTAGTGGTCTGGTGCTGGAAGAGGCCAGAGCTTCCTGGCAAATCCATCCCTTCCTCCCTGCTTGTAAAGGATCTCCCAAACATGTGGACTGTACAGTTCTTCACAAATGATGCCTCTTCATTATCCTCTTGGAGGCTACTTTCTCTACTACATTGCTTGTGGTGCCGGTAAAATTTTGTACCAACTGAGAATCCTCTATCATGCGTGTATAGTTTCTGGGTATGGTGTGATCCCTGGTGTTCAGTCAGGTGCAAAATGTCTTTCAAGAGTGGGTCACACATCTCACATGGGGCTTTCTGCATGAATGGACCTGATTCAGGAGTCCTGACCTGTGACACTCCTACAGAAATGCTCTGCTCAGAAGGTGCCTCCTCATTGTATGCTTCACACCAACAACCTGAAAGGAAAGCAAAGAAATCCTGAGGAAGTGCATGTTGACTTTGGTGAGAAGTAGCAGTGCCATCATAAATATGGATGTGACATGTTAATAAAAGAGCCTATTGGTTTGTTAGCAGGACAAGGGAGCCAAGATCAGTTCAGAAAGGGATGGTTATCAGTACAGGGCCTCTAAAGATCAAAGATGGAGGAACCCTAATGATGGGTAAAGACCTACTAACAGTGATGGAGGAATGGACAAGGCATAGAGATGAGGTCTCTAACTCACTCTTCTACAAAAGTGTGTTTTGCAGGACCTTGGCTGCTGGTGTCAGGTGAACTCTGTGCAGAAGGGTGTGTCCATGCCCAGAAAAATCTGACTCCAAATAAGTAGCTAGTTTTATT